GTGTGTGTGTTGACAACACGTGTGTGTGTTGACAACACGTGTGTGTGTTGACAACACGTGTGTGTGTGTGTTGATAACACGTGTGTGTGAGTTGACAACACGTGTGTGTGTTGACAACACGTGTGTGTGTGTGTTGATAACACGTGTGTGTGAGTTGACAACACGTGTGTGTGTTGACAACACGTGTGTGTGTTGACAACACGTGTGTGAGTTGACAACACGTGTGTGTGTTGACAACACGTGTGTGTGAGTTGACAACACGTGTGTGAGTTGACAACACGTGTGTGAGTTGACAACACTTTTGTGTGTTGACAACACGTGTGTGTGTTGACAACACGTGTGTGTGAGTTGACAACACGTGTGTGTGTTGACAACACGTGTGTGTGTTGACAACACGTGTGTGTGTTGACAACACGTGTGTGTGTGTGTTGATAACACGTGTGTGTGAGTTGACAACACGTGTGTGTGTTGACAACACGTGTGTGTGTGTGTTGATAACACGTGTGTGTGAGTTGACAACACGTGTGTGTGTTGACAACACGTGTGTGAGTTGACAACACGTGTGTGAGTTGACAACACGTGTGTGAGTTGACAACACGTGTGTGTGCGTTGACAACACGCGTGTGAGTTTAGAACACGTGTGTGTGTTGACAACATGTGTGTGTGTTGGCAACACGTGTGTGAGTTGACAACACGTGTGTGAGTTGACAACACGTGTGTGAGTTTAGAACACGTGTGTGTGTTGACAACACGCGTGTGAGTTTCGAACACGTGTGTGTGAGTTTAGAACACGCGTGTGAGTTTAGAACACGTGTGTGTGAGTTTAGAACACGCGTGTGAGTTGACAACACGTGTGTGTGTTGACAACACGTGTGTGAGTTGATGACACACGTGAGAGTTGACAACACGTGTGTGTGTGTTGACAACACGTGTGTGTGTATGCCGCGACGTCGCCGTTTGGTGATGACGGCACCGACGGCGGACAGCTTCGTCAGGCGGGGAATTGGTGGCCAAAGTCTACCCACGTGTTCAACCGATCTCGGCCCCCTTCCAATCCATCTCGCACCACTTGCCCAACCACCCCCCAAAAAAGCAAAGATCCCCCGTGCAGCCTGGAGCAGACCGTTGGGGCAAGTGCTGTAAGCGAGCAGCACCTATGAAGGCCGGAACGGCACACGAAGACCAATTCAGACGTTATTGGTCACCCCGTGCCCCTTACATACCTCAACGTTCATCCTACAAAGTCCCATCGCAAGGGAGAAACACAAACAAATAGAACAACACATTTCTTGCCCGTATTGACTCAATTTCCCTGTACAAGAATACGGGGTAAAACCCCTATGGGTTGACTGCTATGGCACCAGGTACTCATTCGAGGCTGAGTCGACCTAGGGGAGGCCCAGGACCGCTTCAGATATAATTAAAGCGATTACACATTCATACAATTGGCCACCTGTTCAATGTCTCTCCTTCTCTCCGTCAGCCTCTCCACTGACGACTTTCATCGCCACCGGCGTTGGCCGCGAGCGGGAATCGAACTGGGGTCCCAGGGTTCGTGGCGCGTCGCGCTACCCGCTACACTACCGCTCCCCCACAAGCCCCCCTCCCGACCTCATCACCCCAACACCCCCCCCCCCCCCACCATTGATAGACCCTTTGGGTCTGTCCCCACCGATGATGTCTCCGTGGCGTGCTCGAAGGGGCGCGTGTAGTGGTGTCTTCGTGTGTACGTGGCCTTCATAGGGTGCTCGCTAACAGCACTTGCCCCGACAGTCTGTTAAGGGTACACGGGGGAGCTTTGTCTTCGTCTTGTGTGGTTGGAGCGGTGGTGTAGCGGTTAGCGCTACGCTGCGCTATGAACTCGGCGACCCGAGTTCGATTCCCGCGCACAGCCAACACCGGTGACGATTATCTGAACCGGTACTGGGCCTCTTCTAGATACACTCAGCATCAAATGAGTGCCTGGTTCGGTGTGTAATCATCGCCACTGGGGAGACAAAGGCGGCCGGGCATGGTGCTTGCCACCCACCCCCTCGTGTGCCGTGCCGGCCTTCATAGGTGGTCGCTCAGAGCACTTGCCCCAAAAGTACGTTAAGGCTATACGGGGGATCTTTATCTTTGCTGTACGTATTGTATCCTATGTTGACGATGCATGGGGAGCGAGTGGGTAAATGGTTGAGTTGATGAGTGACCGAGTCCGTTCGAGTACCACGTTTGAGATTTTCCTGCCAAGGCCAAGCGGGTGCTCCAGAGACCGAGGGATGAGTCCAATTTGCAGGAGGAGTGAGTGAATGGGTGGGCGGGCGGGCGATCGAGCGGGTGGGCGAGTGTGAGATGGTGGATTGTTTAGCGGTGTGGGCAGTGCCGGATGATCCTAGTAGCAAAAGTAGCTAAATATGTAGTAGCTACTACTACATAGCTACGGGCCCCGCACTTTCAAGGGCCCCGCGCTGAATGCTTTCAAGCTATCAATTCCGGTTGATTCTCTATTACTATAGTACTATACCGCCTTCAACTTTATGAACGACCGGGGTGTTTAGTGTTATCGATTTGTCGCATTATCTGGCTGTATAGAAAATGAACAAATACAATTACTTTACTGTGCAAGTGAAAACATTTGTCTGTTTTAATATTTACGTCTTTTTATTTTATTTAGGGCACCTTTATAACATGACATGCTACAGGCCCCGTACTAGCTTCATAAGGCACTGCGTGTGGGTGGGTGTGGCAAACGGTCGATGAGTGAGTGAGTTCACTTTTCGATTTAAAGCTTTCGTGACTGCAGGGATTCATCTTCTTGGTTCTTTCGGTAAAGTCACGTAGAAGGGAAGTAATAAAATAATAAAAATAAAACATAATAAAACAATTCTCACAAAATTTGAGAATTGTTTTATTATGTTTTATTTTTATTATTTTATTACTTCCCTTCTACGTGACTTTACCGAAAGAACCAAGAAGATGAGTGAGTTCACGATGAGTGAGTGAGTGAGTTCACGTTTCGTATTGCGTTTAAAAGCCGACGGCGAGCTAAAGAGACCGAGCATAAATCTCTCGTTTGTGTGAGAGCGAGCGAGAGAGAGAGAGGGAGGGGGGAGAGGGGGAGAGGGAGGGAGGGAGAGAGAGCCCTGGGTTATCACCGATGCAATGAACATTCGCACAGACGAGAGTGGCGCCGACACGGCAATAGCGGGTGACGTGGGGCGTTCATCGAGGAGCGAAGGCCACTTCGACTCGCAGACGAATGCAGGGTTGAGGATCGGGGAGCGGGGGGGGAGTCGGGGGGAGGGAGGGGAGAAAGAGAGAGAGTGAACGAGAGAGTGAGCGAGAGAGTGAGCGGGAGGTGGGGGTTTTACATAAAGCTAAGTTTACAAAAAAATTTTTTACAAAATGATGAACGAAGCAAAGTGCCGACTACACCGAGCATCTTCTTGTTTCCACTGATTGTAAAAAAAAGGAGGGGGGGATGGAGAGTTCGAAGGGGGGGGAGGCAGCAAGCGGAAGAGGCGATGGGAGAGTGCGGGAGTGAGGGATGGAGAGAGTCGGGGCGAGTTCGGTGGGGAGTGTTCACCGCGTGCAATGTGCGTGCGATGGGTAAACATCGCCACTGGGGGAGACAAAGGCGGCCGCGCGTGGTGCTGGCCACCCACCCCCTCGCATGCCGTGCCGGCATTCATAGGTGCTACTCGCTAACAGCACTTGCCCCAGACGTCTGTGGAGGCTATACTGGGTATATTTGTTTTATATAACACAGACACGCATTGTATAACACACAGACACATACACACGTATAACACAGAGTCTTACATAACACGTACAGCATACGAGCACACACATACAAAGACGCATTTCTAAATAACAAAGATCCCCCGTCTAGCCTTAAACAGAGTGTTGGGGCAAGGCTGGCATGGCACGCGTGGGTGGCCAGCACCATGCCCGGCCGCCTTTGTCTCCCGAGGGGCGATCTTTACACATCGCACCAGGTAACTTATTTTCAGCTGAGTCGACCTAGAGGAGGCCCAGGATCATCACCGGTGTTGGCCGTCAGCGGGAATCGAATTCGGGTCGCCGGGTTCATGACTCTAACCGCTACAAGACCGCTCCAAAGACAAAGATCATCCGTGTAGCCTCAGTAAACGTTTGTGGCAAGTGCTGTCAGCGAGCACCTATGACGGCCGGCACGGCATGCGAGGGGGTAGGTGGCCAGCACCAGACCCGGCCGCCTTTGTCTCCCCAATGGCGATGTTTACACGCCGCACCAGATATTCGTTTGAGGATGCTGAGTCGACCTAGGGGAGGCCCAGGAACCGGTTTAGATAATCGTCACCCGTGTTGGTGGCCGTGAGCGCGAATCGAATTTCAGGTCGCCTTGTTCGTGACTCTAACCACTACACTAACGCTGCCCCCACACACACACAAATTAGCTGCGTGCGTTTTCCGTAAATGTGTATCTGTATCCCCCCCCCTCGTCTCCCTTCCCCAACTGTGTGCATTGATCCAGCCTTGAGCTCACATTCCTACCCTTGGCTCTACCGCAGGTGTCAGATCGACTGGGCAGATCTGACCACCCCACGTGACCTTCCTTCAGCCTTGAACTCACATTGCTACCCTTGGCTCTACCGCAGGTGTCAGATCGCCGTGCGAGTAACCACCCCACATGACATTCCTCCAGCCTTGAGCTCACATTCCTACCCTTGGCTCTACCGCCAGTGTCAGATCGACTGGGCAGATCTGACCACCCCACGTGGCCTTCTCCAGCCTTGAGCTCACATTCCTACCCTTGGCTCTACGACTGGTGTCAGATCGCCGTGCGAGTAACCACCCCACGTGACCTTCCTCCAGCCTTGAGCTCACATTCCTACCCTTGGCTCTACCGCAGTGTCACATCGCCGTGCGAGTGACCACCCCACGTGGTGTAACATTGCTCCGGCCTCGTGCTCACACAATCTCTGTCCACTCTCCCCCCGCCCCCCCACCGCCCCCCCCCCCTCCCTGCCCCGCAGGTGTCAGATCGACGGGCGGGTGACTCGCGTCGCCTGGCTCAACCGCTCGAGCATCCTGTACGCGGGCGGCGACCGCTGGACGCTGGACCGCCGCGTGTCGCTGGCGTCGCACACGCCCAGCGAGTACAGCGTGCGCATCGCCGGCGTGACGGCGCACGACGAGGGCCCTTACACGTGCTCTATTCAGACCCAAAACCACCCTAAGACATCTCAGGTGCATGTGATAGTACAAGGTATGCTCTCAACCCGGTCTGGGCTTTATCAATCAAATCAATCAATGTCCTGTCAATTTGTGAATTCAATTTTTTTCTCGAAAATAATAATTTTTTATTTAGGTGTTGACGGTCTATTTAACCCCCACCTTCGTCCACACGAAAAAAAATTGGGGGAAATATTACGACAATTATGGTGTAGGATGGGTGGGGTTATTTTTTTTTGTCCAAGTGAGAGGTGTTAGGGGCCTGATTCGTGTGTTGGTGGATGGGCAATTTCCGCCAAAATTTGGCAGAAGACGGTCAATAGAGCTTGAGCATCGTTCATCATCACTCTCTCTCTCTCTCTCAGCCTCTCTCTCAGTCTCTATCTCTCACTTTCAGCCTCCCTCTATCTCTCAGCCTCTCTTTTTCTATATCTCAGCCTCTCTCTCAGCCTCTTTTTCTATCGCTCTGTAGCGTTTATTTTCATTTGTTTGCTGGTGACTTTGTGTATTTCATATCGAAATCGCCTCCCGTGCTGTTGCTGCTGGCGGCAATAAAAGTTGTTTAAAAGTCAAAAATCTCTCTCTCAGCTTCTCTCTCTATCTCTCAGCCTCTCTCTCTATTTTAATGTTTTCTCCAATTTGTTTTTTAAATCCTTTTGTACTTGTTAAAATAAATACTTTCGAGTGACCGGGGGGGGGGGGGCGATTTAAATTTCCTGCCAAACATTGTTGGAAAGCGCCTCTCCGCTGACCGCACGAATCGTGGAGTCCATTCCCATTCCTTTTGGGTGTTGTCGTTGGTGGAACGTCCCATCGAGTCGTGATGACACCACCCGCCGTGTTAGTGCTCGAACAAAACGTCAAACTCGAATTGGCAGGGATAATTGTTGCTTTATTTATTTCTTCTTTCCTTCTTTTCAATGGGCTCACATGCCTGGGTAAGGTGCATTCATGGAAAATTTGCGTCGTCTCCGAAACGAAAACTCAAAAAAGAACTGAGAGGCAGTAGAGAACTTAACAACCCCGAGAATGTGGTCACGTTTTTTATTTTGACTTTTTTTTTGGGACCCCCCCCAAAAAAAAAAAAAGTGGTTTTTGGATCGTCCCTATCCGGGGTTTATTGGCTAAGGTGTAGGCTAAACAAAGAGTAGTTGGCAGCTTGAGTAGCAATAGTTTGCTTGACCACACACATGGGCTGATTAACCGTGGAGCGGAGATAGCACAGTTAAAAAGTAGCCCCCAAATGGTTACCGCAAGGGGAGGGTTCTCTTTAGGGATGACGGTTAAGTTGACGGAAAGATTTAATGTGAAAAACGCACGGCAGCATCTTGGCTCGTAGACACGTGGTTAGGTTGCTTTGCTCCGGGCTTGGACCCACGCGAGTTTGAAGCTTCGGTGATGAGAAGAAAATATTTTAAAAAACAACAACTTTGAAGTGACGATTCAAAGCGAGCCCGCTATTACGACATCTGAGCGATGGTGTCACTCGAATTTCGGCCTGTTCCGATGTAAATGTCTTCAAGATGATCGGTTCCCACAGAAGAAACGTGTGCCACCGTGAAGTTAAGTGGAAAAAGCACTAAGCGAGAACGATTTCCCCGTAAATAATGTAGTAGCGGTAAAGTGTGCGCGCGATATGATGTACCACTACGCACACGCACAGGGAGATGACAGAAACAGTAACTGAGTGCACGCCGCCACTGCGTTGCTGTATCCTTCCACGGACTCTATAACTCCGCTCAGCCGTGCAGCTCAAGAAGGAAGTTTGTCGTAGACCGCTCAGAAACTACGTTATAACGGGAGACGCGTTCCGTGTTATAACGGAGCGTGTTCCACGTTACAATGTAGCACGTTAGGTGTTATAACGGGGGGCGTATTCCGCATTCTGCGTTTGTGCGAAAAGCGTTCCCGAGTGGAAAGAACCGCATCAAGAGAACACTCGTTGTAGCGTGAACACCAAGAGAACACGTGTTGTAGTGTGAACACCAAGAGAACACGCGTTGTAGTGTGAACACCAAGAGAACACGCGTTGTAGCGTGAACATCACGAGAACACTCGTTGTAGCGTGAACATCACGAGAACACTCGTTGTAGCGTGAACACCAAGAGAACACGCGTTGTAGCGTGAACACCAAGAGAACACTCGTTGTAGCGTGAACACCAAGAGAACACGTGTTGTAGCGTGAACACCAAGAGAACACGTGTTGTAGTGTGAACACCAAGAGAACACTCGTTGTAGCGTGAACATCACGAGAACACGTGTTGTAGTGTGAACACCAAGAGAACACGTGTTGTAGTGTGAACAACAAGAGAACACGTGTTGTAGCGTGAACACCAAGAGAACACGTGTTGTAGCGTGAACACCAAGAGAACACTCGTTGTAGCGTGAACACCAAGAGAACACGTGTTGTAGCGTGAACACCAAGAGAACACGTGTTGTAGTGTGAACACCAAGAGAACACTCGTTGTAGCGTGAACATCACGAGAACACGTGTTGTAGTGTGAACACCAAGAGAACACGTGTTGTAGTGTGAACAACAAGAGAACACGTGTTGTAGCGTGAACACCAAGAGAACACGTGTTGTAGCGTGAACACCAAGAGAACACGTGTTGTAGCGTGAACACCAAGAGAACACGTGTTGTCGTGTGAACACCACGAGAACACGTGTTGTAGTGTGAACAACAAGAGAACACGTGTTGTCGTGTGAACACCAAGAGAACACGTGTTGTAGTGTGAACAACAAGAGAACACGTGTTGTAGCGTGAACACCAAGAGAACACGTGTTGTAGCGTGAACACCAAGAGAACACGTGTTGTAGCGTGAACACCAAGAGAACACGCGTTGTAGTGTGAACACCAAGAGAACACGCGTTGTAGTGTGAACACCAAGAGAACACGCGTTGTAGTGTGAACACCAAGAGAACACGCGTTGTAGTGTGAACACCAAGAGAACACGCGTTGTAGTGTGAACACCAAGAGAACACGCGTTGTAGTGTGAACACCAAGAGAACACGTGTTGTAGTGTGAACACCAAGAGAACACGCGTTGTAGTGTGAACACCAAGAGAACACGTGTTGTCGTGTGAACACCAAGAGAACACGCGTTGTAGTGTGAACAACAAGAGAACACGCGTTGTAGTGTGAACAACAAGAGAACACGCGTTGTAGCGTGAACACCACGCGAACACGTGTTGTCGTGTGAACACCAAGAGAACACGTGTTGTCGTGTGAACACCACGCGAACACGTGTTGTAGCGTGAACACCAAGAGAACACGCGTTGTAGCGTGAACACCAAGAGAACACGCGTTGTAGTGTGAACACCAAGAGAACACGCGTTGTAGCGTGAACACCAAGAGAACACGCGTTGTAGTGTGAACACCAAGAACACGCAGCTCGCTGTACAGCTGCCTCCGATTGGAGTCACGGGGGAAAAATAAAACAACTTCAGACACCGATTTCCCCGTGGGGGCCCAGCCTCTTGCTTCCCGATTGTCGCGCGCAACACTTGACTATCGTGCGCATTGAAATCGTGGCGACGGATAACGCACTTGCGTTGTTTAACAAGCGGCGAGGATTGTAAGAGAACCCTCCCGGGGTTTTGTAGTCCTCGTTCTCAAGGGGTTTGCTGATTATACCCGCTGGGTAAAGCCGAAATGACAACAACAAGCGGTGTAAAAAAACAAAACCAATATCGGAGCAGAAAGTCACCGAACAGAAATCAGCACAAGACAACAACAACAACAAGAACGAGCGCGTCGTGACGGCTCGCTTTGTAGTAACTATAACGATGGCAACAAAAATAACATTTGTACATCGTGTAATTGAGTTTTCAGGTCCATTACGGCATACGGCCGTTTAAATATTGGGAAAGTTACAAAAAAGTTTGTCCCTGCGTTTGTGTTTCTCCCTTGTGATGGGACTTTGTAGGATGAGCGTTGAGATGTATAAGTACACGGGATGACCCATGAGGTCTGAATTGGTCCGTAATAAGTTAGGGCAATGGTAATGGGTGGACAGGTATAAATATATGCTGCTGATGATGATTATGATTGAGATTGTCATCATCATCATTGTTGTTATCATCAACGAAGCATTCAAATGAACGTGGGGCAGCCCAGGTGGCGGACACGCACGGCTACAACACAAGAGCTGCCTGCTACTACACTTACTCGTTCTGCTTTTTTATTTATTGGACAGGAGTGTGTGTGGTCAGATTAAGTGGGTCAGCAGGGAGGAGGAAGGGGAAGGGGTGGGTCGTGTGTTAACCGAGCACTGCCAATAATTAGCGGGCCTATTTAGCGGTTTGGGGAAGAATCGGAGATTGAGAATGCATCTTCGCAGGCATGTGTTGATTCCCACCATGCCTTGTGTACTAGCATCGGGCACCCGAGATTGGTCGATCCTCTACCCCCCCCCCCACCACGCACCCCCCCCTCCTCCGAACCCCCCCCCCCTACTACCCCCCCCCCCCCCCACACACAGAACCCTCACCCTCCACACTCACCACACTCACCACACTCACCACTCTCACCCACGCATCCAAACGCCTGTCTTGGCAACACAACATTCACACATACACACATGTACAGATATACACACACACACGTGTATATACATACATACAGATACATACAGATACTTACAGATACATGCATACATATACATACATATATACAGCACTCATATACATATAAACACAAGATAAAAAAAATACCCCCCCCCCCCTTTTGCATGAACAGACTTTTGAATTACAAGTGCTGTTAGCGAGCAGTAATCTATGAAAGCAGGTACAACACACGAGGGGGTGGGTGGCCAGCACCACGCCCGACCGCCTTTCTCTCCCCAGTGGCGATGTTTAAACACCGCACCAGGTACTCATTTGAGGCTGAGTCGACCTAGGGGAGGCCCAGGACCGGTTCAGATAATCGTCACCTGCGTTGGCCGTTAGCAGGAATCGAACTCGGGTTGCCGGGTTCGCAGCCCAGCGTGCTAACCGCTACACCCACCGCTCCCCACGTATACACAGCCGCACACA